AACTGATAGTAATAAATATTTACTATATCTGGCACTCTATAGGGACGAGTGGCTGGACATCTTAAGGAAAGGCGAGACATTAGGTCTTTAAGTGGCTACCTGAACAAGGACCAATCCCAGACTAGGAGCTGGGTGACGTCAGAGTGTGGGAGTGACCTCAGCAAGACAATTAAGAGTGTATAATATACGGTCCGCGACCCTTAACCTTTATGCCAAGTGCTGAAACATGCCTACCACTTCCCACCACCACAGTAACACTCAGATACATACGCATCTACCATATCTTAACATACTAAGAAGGTTAGGTGAAGTCGGTGTTTTCTATGAAGCTTTTCAAGGTAAACTAAAATATTCACAATCAATTAGTATGTCACATATGCACTTATTAAATAAGCCAATATTACTGTAAGCAAGTGCGAGAACGGGTTGCTATATCTTAAGGTGCACATCAATAAAACGGAAAAGGTGCAGAGACATACAACTAAATGGCTCCCGGAAATAAAGGACAAGAGCTACGAGGAGAGGTTAGAGGCATAAAATATGCCAAAACTAGAAGATAGAAGAAAAAGAGTAAATATGATTACTATGTACAAAATAGTTATGGGAAATGACAAAACTGATAGGGAAGAATTTCCAAGACCTGGAACTTCAAGAACAACATTATATGTTTTTTAAAATTTATGGCCATAGTTTAATAACTAAACAAAGCTGCCAAAGAAATAACAGAAAATTCGCTTTTGCAAACAGTGGTAGATGATTAGAACAAATTAGCGAGGTGGTGGTGGAGGCCAAAACTGTCAGTAGTCTCAAAGCGTTATATGACAGAGTGCTGGGAAGACAGGACACCACGAGTGTAGCTCTCATTCTGTAACTACACTTAGGTAATTACACACACATTCTCTTGCTCTCTCTCATTCCCATAAGCATTCTTCAATTAATTAGTTATTTGTAGGAGAATCATAATAGTTACTAATGTCTGGAACAGTAAATGTTGAAGCATATATAGTCTGTCACAGGCTGAACATATACCCTAGCAAAAACTCAAGAATCTGAAGATAAACAGAAACATATTTTTGGGGATAATATTCACTTACCGTCTTGCTCAATGCTCATTATTACAGGAGTGTTGTGTCAAGCCAAATGTGGTGCTACATAGTTTCCCCTAGCTTGGTGCCTTCTTTTGATAATTACTTGGCCACTTAAGGCACTTTACCTCAGCTACTGTACTTTAAATAATACATCAATTTCTGTATCTGTTTGTTCTACTTATGTTTGCTAGTGTCTTTAGCATGGAATAAATCCAGTGGTTGAAGTAAATTCTTAATTAACAGATTTTTATCAGATTCCTGTTCCAATTTAGTGGTTAACAATGCTTAAGGACTCTGTACTTGACAGAACTCACGCATGAGACTGATCACCAGGAGGAAACACTTTGTTAATGTAGCATCAACGAACTCTGCATCCACTGTCAGGTGCCTGAAACAATCGAACACTATCTCCTACATTGCTTCCGACACTATAGTGCCAGAGTAAATTTCAAACAAGAACTTATCTCACTTAAAATACATTTTACCATCGAGCATATATTAGGAGGCGGTGACCACTCGTTACAAGAAAAATACCAAATAGTCAAAGCACTGGCTAAATATCTCCAATCGACCAACAAATTGGGTCACATCTGACCCGCGCCACATTTATACCTGGCGCCACCAACAGCTAAACACAGAAAACAAATGTTTCGTCGCAACACCAAGGATCAGCTGACGCCATAAACACAACACACCGCCCTACGGTGCGGCAAGTCTCCCTCTAACATCCACCTCTGTTTTAGTCGCCGCTCCTCTGTCTACAGCACAACGCAACAAGCACTTTTGAAACTCTTATCATCTTCAACATAAACGCCTCTACCAACATCTGTACTGGTGCAGTCATCGGGAGGACAAACCCTTCATGCAAACTGCACCTACTATCAAGAAGAAGAAGAATGTAGCAGTTAACACTTTTATTGAGAGTAATATTAACTGCATACCTTCCATAAGAAAAAGCTTTACTAGCATGAACAACCAAAAATAAAAAGTTTAAAAATGGAATGCAGTGATACAGAGCATTGATGATTGGTCACTTTTATTACAAAGAACATTTACACATCAGTTATACAATATTTATGCTTATTGCAATATCAAATTACAGTATACATTAAATAGACACCCATAACATTACTTTTCCTAAGATTTTTTTTTTTACAAAATTAAAAAATTTGAATACAGTAATTTGTAATTCTTATGTATCATTATATACACTAAACCACTTAGTGCCAAGCCACACTTCACACATACAAGTGTGAGGGCCACCCATACTGTGTGAATACTGGTGACTCTCATTCATGCCTTTTCAATATTGTGTTCCCCATACAGAATTCAAAATACTACTTAGATAGTATTAAATTACATCAGGAAAATAAACTACATGTTGTTACAAAATCAAAAACAAGCCATTGGTGTAAAGAACAAAAATGCATTTGCCTTAAATTATTTTACATCTTTGAATTAATGCTTAGATTCATCTATTGTTTAGAGTGTATTAAGACAAATGGTGTGGGGAAACCATGCAACTCAACCCAAAACTGGCTTCCCTAATGTTATGCTCCATAATGAAGCCAAAATTATCTACCCACCACAATATGAATAGAAGAAATACTGTAAATTATGATACTTAATGCAATCAAAATTATACTTAATTAATTCTCCAAGGATACAACCATATAAGTGCGTGCTAATCCTTTACATAATTTGTTATTTTATTAAAGTCTAAAATACAGTGTACCTCTACCCAGCAGTAATTTAAGTGTCGAGAACTTTATTGAAGACACTACACTGTACTTACAAAATTTCAACTTAGGGACTACTATGAGACAAATTAACCCAACATCTCTAACCCATGTAAACTTTAATAAACAATGCTTGTTTAACTTTATAAATAATGATGCTGGATTGTACATCTAACATTGTAGTTAGGGCATGAATTATTAAAATGTATGTTCATTACAGTATAAAGACAAACAGTGTGAGGGAACACTGCCCAGATTGTCCCAACCTCCTTAAGGCATCACAATTGCAAAGCAAATATGCAAACCACTACAGTAAGAGCAAATGTGCAAGCCTCTACAGTAAGAGCAAATGTGCAAACCACTACAGTAAGAGCAAATGTGCAAGCCTCTACAGTAAGAGCAAATGTGCAAACCACTACAGTAAGAGCAAATGTGCAAGCCTCTACAGTAAGAGCAAATGTGCAAACCACTACAGTAAGAGCAAATGTGCAAGCCTCTACAGTAAGAGCAAATGTGCAAACCACTACAGTAAGAGCAAATGTGCAAGCCTCTACAGTAAGAGCAAATGTGCAAACCACTACAGTAAGAGCAAATGTGCAAGCCTCTACAGTAAGAGCAAATGTGCAAGCCTCTACTGTAAGAGCAAATGTGCAAACCACTACAGTAAGAGCAAATGTGCAAGCCTCTACAGTAAGAGCAAATGTGCAAGCCTCTACAGTAAGAGCAAATGTGCAAGCCTCTACAGTAAGAGCAAATGTGCAAGCCTCTACAGTAAAAGCAAATGTGCAAGCCGCTACAGTAAGAGCAAATGTGTAAGCCTCTACAGTAAGAGCAAATGTGCAAGCCTCTACAGTAAGAGCAAATGTGCAAGCCTCTACAGTAAGAGCAAATGTGCAAGCCTCTACAGTGAGAGCAAATGTGCAAGCCTCTACAGTGAGAGCAAATGTACGAGCCTCTACAGTGAGAGCAAATGTGCAAGCCGCTACAGTGAGAGCAAATGTGCAAGCCTCTACAGTCAGAGCAAATGTGCAAGCCTCTACAGTAAGAGCAAATGTGCAAGCCTCTACAGTAAGAGCAAAGGTGCAAGCCGCTACAGTAAGAGCAAATGTGCAAGCCTCTACAGTGAGAGCAAATGTGCAAGCTGCTACAGTAAGAGCAAATGTGCAAGCCTCTACAGTGAGAGCAAATGTGCAAGCCGCTACAGTAAGAGCAAATGTGCAAGCCTCTACAGTAAGAGCAAATGTGCAAGCTGCTACAGTAAGAGCAAATGTGCAAGCCTCTACAGTAAGAGCAAATGTGCAAGCCTCTACAGTAAGAGCAAATGTACAAGCTGCTACAGTAAGAGCAAATGTGCAAGCCTCTACAGTAAGAGCAAATGTGTAAGCTGCTACAGTAAGAGCAAATGTGCAAGCCTCTACAGTAAGAGCAAATGTGTAAGCTGCTACAGTAAGAGCAAATGTGCAAGCCTCTACAGTAAGAGCAAATGTGCAAACCACTACAGTAAGAGCAAATGTGCAAGCCTCTACAGTAAGAGCAAATGTGCAAGCTGCTACAGTAAGAGCAAATGTGCAAGCCTCTACAGTAAGAGCAAATGTGCAAGCCTCTACAGTAAGAGCAAATGTGCAAGCTGCTACAGTAAGAGCAAATGTGCAAGCCTCTACAGTAAGAGCAAATGTGCAAGCCTCTACAGTAAGAGCAAATGTGCAAGCCTCTACAGTAAGAGCAAATGTGCAAGCCTCTACAGTAAGAGCAAATGTGCAAGCCTCTACAGTAAGAGCAAATGTGCAAGCCTCTACAGTAAGAGCAAATGTGCAAGCCTCTACAGTAAGAGCAAATGTGCAAGCCTCTACAGTAAGAGCAAATGTGCAAGCCTCTACAGTAAGAGCAAATGTGCAAACCACTACAGTAAGAGCAAATGTGCAAGCCTCTACAGTAAGAGCAAATGTGCAAGCCTCTACAGTAAGAGCAAATGTGCAAACCACTACAGTAAGAGCAAATATGCAAGCCTCTACAGTAAGAGCAAATGTGCAAGCCTCTACAGTAAGAGCAAATGTGCAAGCCTCTACAGTAAGAGCAATGTGCAAGCCTCTACAGTAAGAGCAAATGTGCAAGCCGCTACAGTAAGAACAAGGAACAACTACAGCACTCCACTCACATGGAAGAATAAAACAAATGTTTCAAGTGCTCCTTTGAGCATCTTTAAATACTTGGAGATGGTGAGTAAGTGAGTAATTAGCAAGGAAGATGATTCATATGTTAAATAATAGTGTAGTGAAGGCCATTCCCCTAATATAAAGAAAGGCAAATTCACATGACAAAAATCAGTCATCGAAGGTATACATTTTGAAATATAAAAAATACAACTGCCCAGTGCAAATACACTGGTGCTGATATGAGGATGATAATCATTAGTGAGAAAGATACTAAGGTAAAAATGATGCTGGTAAGGGAATGATAAGGATGTGGGTAGAGGAAGATATTAACGCTGGTAATGAGATTGATGCTGGTGAAGTAATGAGATTGATGCTGGTGAAGTAATGAGATTGATGCTGGTGAAGTAATGAGACTGATTCTTAACAGTATTAATATTGGAGCAGCAGAGTGGTTAATAGCAACCTGAATACCCCTAAAATATACAAATATTGTACAGAATATTTATTGTTTACCAGTATATACAGTACTGTATATATTAAGAACATATTATGATTAAACAAATAAGGAATTTAAATAATATGTTTACTTCCCATAAATAGAACACATGATTTAATATACTGTACTTCAAAGGTAAGTATATTTTTAACCTTAATTTTGAATATAAGTTGATTCTGTTAAATTTGGGAACTCACAATGATCTCTTTAGTTACTGGTCATGAAGATTTCTCCACTTGTTTAACACTCTTTAGTTACTGGTCATGAAGATTTCTCCACTTGTTTAACACTCTTCAGTTACTGGTCATGAAGATTTCTCCACTTGTTTAACACTCTTTAGTTACTGGTCATGAAGATTTCTCCACTTGTTTAACACTCTTCAGTTACTGGTCATGAAGATTTCTCCACTTGTTTAACACTCTTCAGTTACTGGTCATGAAGATTTCTCCACTTGTTTAACACTCTTCAGTTACTGGTCATGAAGATTTCTCCACTTGTTTAACACTCTTCAGTTACTGGTCATGAAGATTTCTCCACTTGTTTAACACCTGAATGATGACAACCAAGACCAACGCTGTCTGGGTTATCTACCATTTCTTCCTCTGCACACTTACTGGTCATGTCATCAATATCACACTCTTTATCTGCAGCATCTTTTCCTTCACCTTCACTGCTGCATTGGGAGGAGCCATCTAAATTATATGGTTTTCCAGCAATTTCTAGTACTTTTCGAAGATATGGAAGAAATTTATCATACAAATATATTATCCCATCTGCAGAAAAAAGAGATTGGTTACACTTTAAAACTTGCATTTAAATGTTCATAGTGAATTATATAGTAGGCCACTAATTGTGTGTGTGTGTGTGTGTTGGCGGTTTGTGAGAATATACCTATCCAATATATCATATACACACCAATAGTGCTACAAAATCCACTATATCTTCTAGTTAATAAATAAATACAAAAAAAATAACTGAGCTGTATAGAATTGTTAAAAACTTTATCAGAATATAGTCATTAGTTTCATTCAATAAACTCTTATAATTTGTAATAATACAAATATTGTATGTATTGAAAAATAAGCTTTCATTGATAATAAAATGCACAATAAATCAAGCTGACAAAATAGATCAATAAGTGTAAAAAAATTTTTAAATGGTACCTCAGTTGCTCTTATAGTCAGTGTATATAGTCCACCAAGGATAATTTACACCAATGGGTTCCATGTTACTGAACATCCCACCATAAAAATTAATTTTCAAATGACCTTGTAACATAAGTAGGGTTCTATGGTCTAATTGGTAGTGTAGCTCAGATATTTACATTGCTATTAATAAGAAAATCCACTGGGGCTCTGAGGTGATGTGAATCTGTGATCAAGGCATTGTCAGTCACACACACACACACACACACTACCACTGTACCACCACAATGGCTGGCAGCTGGCTGGTCGTTTGTTCGCGTCACCTTAGAACCCCAGTGGATTTTCTCATTGATGTATAATGTATCATGTTAGTGTGATTTTCTGTGTGTATCTGAAGTTAGGGCGTACGATGTTGAACTACTTTGCCTGCACCAGAGTGCTTGGGGGTCATACATAAAACTTAGACTGGCTTCAAGAGAGGCCTCCAGTCTTCCTGTAATTTCAGTAGAAATCAAGTTGTATGACTTTTAACAAGTAAGTGGTGGTACAGCGGCTGGCAATGCCTTTGTCACAGGTTCGCGTCACTTCAGAACGCCAGTGGATTTTATTTATATATATATATATATATATATATATATATATATATATATATATATATATATATATATATATATATATATATATATATATATATATATATATATATATATGTGTTTTTCATTGAATATGACCGCATATTCTGTATTTATTATTTTCTGGTTTAGGGCTTCTATCCCTCTAACTATTTTCTTAGCATCAGGGCTTAATAGAAATAGGAGTTCTCCAAAACTCATTTTCGTACTTTTAAGGTGAAGAAAAGAAGTGATTTACTATAGTGTGTATTACACTTATTTGTATAATTTGCACGACGTTTCGAACCTCCATGGTTCATTCTCAAGTGAACAGATCTTACAATACTAGTTGATTTTATACCCGCATTAGGTCAGGTGATAATACAATGAAGGTGAAAACATGGGGGGATACGTAAGGGATAAACATAGGGGCTGCAGAAGGCTTATTGGCCCATACGAGGCATCTCCTATCTAAACACAAAGATTAATCCAGTGTAATTGGCCTGTTATGTTGGACATTGTCTTCTGTGTTGGCATCGATATGTTCTTGTCTTGTCCTTACTCTCATGGTGGGTAGAGTAAATAGTTCCGTGATTTGGGTGTTCATGGTAGGTCGCTCTATTCTTATGTGAATTGCCTCAAGAATTTGTAATCTTCTTGAATCTTGGGTTTTGTCTATTATGCAAGTATTCTTGTTCAACATTTCTCTTGTTAGAGTAATGTCATGGGCTTGTCTCATGTGATTCCTAGGGGCACCAGATTGAAGATGGCATGTCAAACGCCTCGTCAGCTTGGTCGACGTCATACCTATGTACTTACATTGAAGGTTACATCCTTCGTGGGGGCAAGTGTACATGTATACAACGCTTGACTGCTGTAGAGGGTTCTCCGTCGGCTTCGGGCTGTTTTTGATAAGGAGTTCGGAAGTCTTCTTGGTTTTGTAGAATATTATCAGGGACCCCAGTGGATTTATTATATACCTGATAATATTCTACAAAACCAAGAAGACTTCCGAACTCCTTATCAAAAACAGCCCGAAGCCGACGGAGAACCCTCTACAGCAGTCAAGCGTTGTATACATGTACACTTGCCCCCACGAAGGATGTAACCTTCAATGTAAGTACATAGGTATGACGTCGACCAAGCTGACGAGGCGTTTGACATGCCATCTTCAATCTGGTGCCCCTAGGAATCACATGAGACAAGCCCATGACATTACTCTAACAAGAGAAATGTTGAACAAGAATACTTGCATAATAGACAAAACCCAAGATTCAAGAAGATTACAAATTCTTGAGGCAATTCACATAAGAATAGAGCGACCTACCATGAACACCCAAATCACGGAACTATTTACTCTACCCACCATGAGAGTAAGGACAAGACAAGAACATATCGATGCCAACACAGAAGACAATGTCCAACATAACAGGCCAATTACACTGGATTAATCTTTGTGTTTAGATAGGAGATGCCTCGTATGGGCCAATAAGCCTTCTGCAGCCCCTATGTTTATCCCTTATGTATCCCCCCATGTTTTCACCTTCATTGTATTATCACCTGACCTAATGCGGGTATAAAATCAACTAGTATTGTAAGATCTGTTCACTTGAGAATGAACCATGGAGGTTCGAAACGTCGTGCAAATTATACAAATAAGTGTAATACACTCTATAGTAAATCACTTCTTTTCTTCACCTTAAAAGTACGAAAATGAGTTTTGGAGAACTCCTATTTCTATTAAGCCCTGATGCTAAGAAAATAGTTAGAGGGATAGAAGCCCTAAACCAGAAAATAATAAATACAGAATATGCGGTCATATTCAATGAAACATGTTTGAAAGAAAACCTGCTGCCAGTATACACCAATATATATATATATATATATATATGCAATTGACGATCACAAAACACTGATCATTTTATGCGGAAAATCCACAGAGAAATATGAAATGAGGTGAACGTTTTGGCTTTGTTAAAGCCTTTGTCAACACCAGACTGACTAAGGAGAAGGGAGAAGGGGGATATATACATATATTCATATATTGTGTGTTCATGAGGCTTTTCTTTAATCTTTCATCCTTATTCTCTGACCACTTAATCCTCTTTGACCATTCTAAGCTAAGCTATACATATATATATATATATATATATATATATATATATATATATATATATATATATATATATATATATATATATATATAGACATATATTATTAAATATGACCGAAAAAGTAAGATTAATAATTCTAACACGAATTTTCTCAATCTTTCGTACATTTCTTTTCACTGTTGGAGGTAAATCAAAAATCAATTCTCCAAAATTCATTTTTATTTCTAGTCTGACGCGACACGAGCGCGTTTCGTAAAACTTATTACATTTTCAAAGACTTTAGTTTACAAATACACAACTGAATAGAACTTACGCATCTCCGATTTTATATCTACATTTGAGTGAGGTGGATGGGGTGAGGTGGCATTAATAGGGTATTAATTTCATCAACACAAGACAGAACAAGAGGTGGTATTAATAGGGTATTAATTTCATCAACACAAGACAGAACACGAAACAATGGGTATTGAATGGGTAGAAGTGATTGTAGAAAGCCTATTGGTCCATATTTCTTGATGCTTCTATATTGGAGCGGAGTCTTGAGGTGGGTAGAATATAGTTGTGCATTAATTGGCTGTTGATTGCTGGTGTTGACATCTTGATGTGTAGTGCCTCGCAAACGTCAAGCCGCCTGCTATCGCTGTATCTATCGATGATTTCTGTGTTGTTTACTAGGATTTCTCTGGCGATGGTTTGGTAGTGGGAAGAGATTATATGTTCCTTAATTGAGCCCTGTTGCTTATGCATCGTTAAACGCCTAGAAAGAGATGATGTTGTTTGCCTATATACTGGGTTTTTTTTGAGCTTACAGTCCCCAAGAGGGCATTTGAAGGCATAGACGACGTTAGTCTCTTTTAAAGCGTTCTGTTTTGTGTCTGGAGAGTTTCTCATGAGTAGGCTGGCCGTTTTTCTGGTTTTATAGTAAATCGTCAGTTGTATCCTCTGATTTTTGTCTGTAGGGATAACGTTTCTATTAACAATATCTTTCAGGACCCTTTCCTCCATTTTATGAGCTGTGGAAAAGAAGTTCCTGTAAAATAGTCTAATAGGGGGTATAGGTGTTGTGTTAGTTGTCTCTTCAGAGGTTGCATGGCGTTTCACTTTCCTTCTTATGATGTCTTCGACGAAACCATTGGAGAAGCCATTGTTGACTAGGACCTGCCTTACCCTACAGAGTTCTTCGTCGACTTGCTTCCATTCTGAGCTGTGGCTGAGAGCACGGTCGACATATGCGTTAACAACACTCCTCTTGTACCTGTCTGGGCAGTCGCTGTTGGCATTTAGGCACATTCCTATGTTCGTTTCCTTAGTGTAGACTGCAGTGTGGAAACCTCCGCTCTTTTCCATGACTGTTACATCTAGAAAGGGCAGCTTCCCATCCTTTTCCATCTCGTAAGTGAAACGCAGCACGGAACTCTGCTCAAATGCCTCCTTCAGCTCCTGCAGATGTCTGACATCAGGTACCTGTGTAAAAATGTCGTCAACATACCTGCAGTATATGGCCGGTTTCAAGTTCATGTCGACTAAGACTTTTTGCTCGATGGTACCCATGTAGAAGTTTGCAAACAGGACACCTAGGGGAGAACCCATGGCGACCCCATCTACTTGCTTATACATGTGCCCATCCGGGCTCAAGAAGGGTGCCTCTTTAGTACAAGCTTGGAGTAGTTTCCTCAGAATATTTTCTGGTATGTCAAGAGGAGTACAGGCTGGATCACGATACACTCTGTCGGCTATCATCCCGATTGTCTCGTCCACAGGTACGTTGGTAAACAGCGATTCTACGTCCAACGAGGCTCTTATCCCTGTGGCCCGTGTGCCCCGCAGTAAGTCAACAAATTCCTTTGGAGACTTCAGGCTGAAGGCGCAAGGAACATAAGGAGTCAGCAGGCCGTTGAGTCGC